TCCATGGGGAAGAGGAGCTGAGAGACCCATTCTACATGTACGGCTCAAAACCTCGTCGCACACAAGGTGCGTTTCATGCTCGCAGTTACTGTGAGCTCACTGCACATGGCGGCCCAGTCCGTGTGAGGCTGGGAGAAGCTGCCCGGGCTCCGGCACGGTGATCGGGTTGAGGTGGGCCTCCTTTGGGCCGCACAGGAGCCAACAAGACGTCAGTTCACTTTTCGAAGCAGCGCCGTGCCATTTATGGCACTGACATCACACATGCTCGTGATTAGAGCCTGGGTTTTTCCAAGACATTTAATTAGTTTGCTAATTTAAGTAATGATCATCTTCCGTATGTGCTACTAAAGGACCAGACATTCTTCAAATAGTCTTGACTTGTTTACTGTTTACCAGCCTACTTGAGCTGCCGCTTACAGAAACACGGCTCAGCTGCCAGACCTGAATAACTGTGGTTAAAATGATCCATGAAAGTGGGTTGGGAATCTTCTCAAGATTTGTGATGGAACCTTTTTATAGGTAAAGACAGACCTGACTGCCTACGTTCCATGTTCGTACACTTTCGTTTGCATCATAAAAGTCATTCTTCCCTTTGAAATGTGTGTATTTTTCATGTACCTATTTAAAAAGGAAACCTTATAGAGGCTAAATTACTTGCACATAAAAATGGCTCTCTGATGCCTACAGCCTAGCCTTAAAAAAACACACCACTAAAACAGATGAAATGTCTACAGTCTACAAGCGTGCATGGAGAGATGTCACATCTATGCGGGAAGCTGGAACCCGCGGCTGCTAATTGGTGTAATGATCGCGAATATCACGGCAAGGAGCCGACGGTCCGTGGTTATTCATTACCTTAAAAGGTCAAACAGCGCATCTGCGAGGGCAGGTGGTCACACTCTCAAAGCCGAAATTACAAGGTTTAAGGTCACCAGACAAACACACTGCCTTGTATCCCCCTGTTACCGCATCATTTCAGGCAAACAGTTACTGGGCCAATTAAAATTTTAATATGCAAATTGGTGATCGTTAATAGCAGTTCGTTGATCATCAAAGATCCTTATTATTAGTCTGACAACATGAAATCTGCCTGTATGCATCTTCTTCCAGAGCATAGATTTTTATGGGAACGAAATAGAAGTGATTGTGGGGATGGATTCCAACATGGCCACCTCAATGTAGCTGTTTTGATAACACTGAGAAACCATTCAGTCCACCTGTGGTATCATGCAGCTTAATGAACCAGTCAACATGGGGCTCCCTCAGCAGGACCCTGGTATCTGGTGAAGGTATCTGGACCAGCTCCATGCCTCTCCTCTCTCATCTAGTCCAATGGCCGTGAGATCCCCATACTTGCTTCTCCATGCCGTCTGAGCATCGTTCACTGCCATCAGGCTTGACCAAGCCAGCTCACAGCAAGGACACGCCAGTCAATAACAAACGCATGCTTTCCCAAGAATGCCGAATGGGTGTTTGCCAGCCAGTGATAATGCCCACATGTCCAGCTCACTGTGGCAGCAAAGGCCCCAGAGATTCCCTCCAGCCCCTAATAATTGTGAATGTGGAGAGGGAATGTAAAACGCTGAGAGGAAGGAGCTCGCTTATCATGTGATGGTCTACATATGTAGACCACAAAGGAGACGCGTATAAGGGCCCACTTCCCGGGGACTGACATATGATACCTTAGCCTCCCCCTGGGGGCCACACAAACCTCAGCAGCTTCTGTACTATGACAGTCATGTTCACATTTTCCTCCATCCTGCTCATACTCCCATCTCTTTCTCTATACAAAATCTTTGAAACCCCAACAAATGTGGGAATTGGAATACTGAATAGTGACCTACATCCCTGGCCCCTCATGTGTATCAGTGAAGCAGACCAACACCAGACAGCTCCAGGGGTAACACCTTCCTCGCTCTCCATTTCTCCCTGTCTCAACTTTCCCACCCACACTGGCCTGCCTACATCAGACTGACACTTAAAGTTGTCTTAAATTGTACAACTGGACTGTAACCAGGAGTGGGATTCCAGTCCCAGTGAAACAGAGAGCGAGATACCCTGTTAGACAGGGAGAGAGGCTGAAGACTGCAGATACATGAGTGCATTGATGGGCGGGGGGGGGTCTTACCTGACCATGACATTTCCCGATGTATGCTTTAGGTTGCTTAGGATGTAGGCTGCCATATACCCACGCTTCAAAAGCTTTCACACAATGCTAGACACGCACAGTAAAATCACTGGTGTCCATTGAGGGGTGGTTTATATGAATTGACAACGCAGGGCAGGACAGGACAGGCCAAAGAACAGAAAACATGAAAGCTTAGCTTAAGTAAGGAAGTAGAAAAAAATAAGTAAATAATAGATAACAGCAATGAATTATATATCAGCTACATGAGGCATTCATGTAGCTGAAGAACAGAACTTTCTGGGTTCATTCAGCAAAACGGAAAACAGGAAGTGTTTTCGGCCTTGACCTTCCCCTACATTATTCAGAGACCTGCAGATGCATACCCTGCCTTTCACCTTTAGTATGCATGCCCATTCAAAACTTCAGCTTCTGCCACAAACCAGTACACAGTATTAACCACCCCCACCACCTCTTTCCCAGCTTTGCTGTAGGACATGCTATTCGAGGTAGCAGGATGAGAATTCTCCAGCAGGCGGGTCAGCAGACAGAAAAATAAAAGTACACAGCACCAACAGGGTTCAGTGCAATGAGTATGTAGCGCCCCCTGCTGGCCTGAATATTCATCAGACTCTATATTCCCAATGCATGAACCTGAAAGGAAAGGACCGATACGAAGCAGGGTGGAGGATGTAGCCAGGAAACTGGGATGTCACTGCAGAGGAAGCCATGGTAAGCCAGCATATTTCTTCCACATGCTCTCTGTCTATTACGGCTGGGGAGACATTTGTTAATATTGCCCACCCGCCCCCCCCTCCCAAAAAAATATACAGACTTGAAATTTCTCAGTTAGCAACAGAGTATCCCGCTGGCATGCGGGGGCGGTGTGAATTTGTGAGGGGGTGTCTTTCTAACTGAGAGTCCTTCACCCTGGGCTGTTGGCTTTTGTGGTACTGTGACAAGCAGGCTTGATTGTCCAGACACGTCCTGGCATGCCCCCCCCCCATGTTGGCCCCTTAGAAGATCCTTAGGAGGACGTCATTGAGTGCGGGGGGCAGAGGAACGGGCAGCCAGGGCTGGGGGGGAGGGATGGCAGTGGCAGGTAGTCAGGGGCTGTTAGTTACGTTTTGGCTGGGGACACAAACTGAGAGCTGTGATGAATGCAGCTGCATCGGGGGGGAGCTGTCACCAGGAAGAACGGTACATGTCACCTCTCCCCAACCATCCCAGTCCCTAACGCACCACAAGGAATCAGACAATCCCCACTGGGTGCCAGCCAGTGCTGACGACACCCCTCCTGGGAGACCTTTTCTGAATTAGGTGCCCAGTGGGGGCACGTCCTGCATTTTGACAACAAACATGCTGTCCTCAAGATAAATTAGGGAGAGGGACAAGGCTCTTGCCCAAGAATGACCTTCACTGAGGTACAGAAATAGCACTTAAAAGTATGACACTTTTCCAATTTAAGAATGGCCCCCTCTCGTTTGTAAATTTCTTATGTTTTTATGTAAATTTTACATAGGTTTAAATGTGTAGTTGGCATTCATCACAGGTGTAAGGTATTTCCATTTACATGGTTTGTGTCTGTAAGTTCATCCATTAATTTTCTGCACCTGCTTGGCCTGTGCATGGTCACAGGGATCCGGAGACAATCCTGGAAACAACGGGTGCAAGGTCATCGAGCTGTTTTTAAATGATTTAATCTGTAATAAACGCCACACAACACAATTTATATTTTACATTAGATGAAAATCAGATGGCGTGGGGGCACGGCTTACATCACCTTAACGACAAAAAAAGAGACAATCATTATATTTTTATATTAGTTATTGTTGATTGGTGCATTGTTAAAGGGTCAAATAAGGGATGTCTAGCGGCATTTAACGATACATTAATTGATTTAAGGGCGTTAACGCATTGGTTTTCCGAGACGAACCCTTTATTTGAGTGCGTTACTGAAAATCAGGAGATAATGAAGAATGATTATATTTGGTATCAACGTAACAGTGTAACAACTTTTTAAAATTGTAAGATGATAAATTAATATTCACTTAACAATAGCTTACCGGGTGACCCCCCCCCCCCGAACATCCTGAGTATAGTCTGAAGTAGCTGCAAGTATTCGCAGGGCCCAAGCGCCACCACCCGGATGCCCATGGTAATAACATTCACCTCAGGCAAACATTGTTTTCCTGACGGGTATCCATCTATCCAGTCATCCATCCATTTTCTGTAACCGCTTATCCCATTCAAAATTAACACTTCACTCGATAGCCAAGATAATGTTGTTTCCTACTTATTTTTTGTAATATATTTTATATTTATTATGCTTAATTATACAATAGTAATCGATTTATAACCACTTTCTAATTAAGTAAGCCGCCTTCATCTTGGTATTACATCGCTCACCTATTAGCATTCAGTCAATTAATAAATCATAAGCACGCCAGAATATCAGAAACTATTTGGCGTGTAAGGCTTGCGAGGAAACTGCGGCGGCGCGCTGTTTACCAATGAGACCGATTCGCCTCGCTTACTCGGTCCAGAACAGAAGCAGAAATGAAATCAACCTCTCTCCTACAGTTGTAGCGCAAATTTGACTTGGTTTGTAGTAGCGGTACAAAACGGGACTTCCAATATTTTGAAGGGCATAGGGGTGCCAGAACAAAACTGAAATATATATATATATCGACATAACAGTATAAAATGAAAAATACTTTTAATTATAATATCGCGCTGTGGTAATATAATTAGACAAGAAATTAAACGAGAAAATGTAATACATATACATATATACGTATATTTTTATTTCGCCATTATGGTACAACCTTAAAATACCCACGTGCTGTTCCCCCGTGTTCTCTGACTGGTCACGTGGTACGGATGCCCTTCTATCCATGCTCCTTAGGTTAAACATGGCTGCGCTCTTAAGATCGGCCCAACGCTTGAAAATCTCGCCGGCTTCTTTATTCTCCTTAAGCCGACTGAACTTAAGTCGATCTCCGCTCTCTCGGCTCTGTAGCGGGACGGTCGCTGGTAGAAGAGTGACGGTCGGTCCGGTACAGGTCTTGCTTTCTCACAATGTGCACAGGTATGTGCCCGGCATGAGACGAAACTCATGCTGCATGGGGAATATGTGTCATTGAGCCTTAACGATAGATCTATAACATTATGTTTTAATCTTATAGTTGTCTGATTGTGGTATGTGCGACGGTAACGAGAGCTCACAGGGTTTGTATGAAATTTATGGATCTGTATGGCCTTATAGCAGAATAGCACGTATGTGTAAGTCGATGAAATCTGTGGCGCAGCAAGTCATACTCCTAAGTCATACTGATCTAAGGTAATGACCTACTGGGCAAAACTCTGTGTATGATATCGGAACAGCTGAACTATGCGGATATGCATGCATGCAGCAGTTAAAACACTGAGCAAGTTCTAATCTCCTATGTGCTACGGCTGATTAAATTTCTTATTGGTTTGCGTCTGATGCTCGTTAGAAGATTTGTACGAACCGTATTATCCATGGGTCTATTTATTTTTATTTGTATATGCTGCATATATAATGCATTCCACTATTTCAGAATAATGGAGAGTCATATATTATAAAAGAATCAGCTGGATACATGAAACTAAAGTTCGTTTCAGCTCTTGTTATGTATTTAGGTTTTTCTGTAGTTTGTTACTCTTTCTTGATGCTGCTTTCTTGGTCTGTGTGTCCCAGCACCGATGACGATACTGTTAGATAGTTCGTGTGATGCATTCTTTTTGTGGCACAGGTCAACATTGGCCCCGATGGGGTGGCGTCACTTCAGCCTCGCCCCCGAGCAGGAAAGGCCATCAAGGGAGGAAAGCAGCGGCCCAGCCCGACCCAGACAGCCCGCGAGGTCTGACTGGGCATTAGACATGCTGGACAGCGCTGTCCGGCGCACGGGAAGCATCAACAAGAACCTGCTGATGCGTATATTTAAGGACATCTCCACAGGTGTGTAGGGTGTTGTCAATGTCAGAAATGTTAATTTAGCCTAAACAATACTCTTTTAATACTGGCATTCTACTCAGAGGTAACAAAGGCTCTTCGTTAAGTCAGTTTAGTTCTATTAATTTGAGGTGATTATCTGGTGTCCGCAGCGGTAACCCCAAGCCACCCCCCCTTTGCAATGCCATGTTCACTATGCAGGCTACCCAAGTGCAAACCAGGCTCTCCTGCTTCTGCGGAGTTGCGGCTCGCTGCTGCCAGAGGTGGCGCTGTCGGAGCGGACTGCGCTGGCTCATCAGATCTGGGACAAACTGCAGGAGCGGGGTAGGAAGCTGGTGACTGTGAGGGGCCAGACAGATGGGCTTGATTTGCCAGAAACTCTCTGTAACTATCCATAGATGGTCAGTGGGATGCTCCACCTGGGACAACTGAATCAGACAATGAAGACATTGTCTTGTGTCTTCAAGGCTTTTATGGAAATATCAGTACATTTTGAGCCGGAATTGCATTAATACCCCTTGTCTGTATTTGGGTTTGGAAGACAACATGGCTTGACTTATCTTTTCCATGCTGGGTTCTCTGTCCAGGAGTGACCTACGATGCCAGTCACTACAACGCCCTGCTCAAGGTCTACCTGCAGAACGAGTTTAAGTTCTCCCCCACTGATTTCCTTGCCAAAATGGAAGCGGCTAACGTGCAGCCCAACAGAGTGAGTACCTGGCGCAGGAGTGGGCCGTCCGGTTGATTTGCCTGAGCTGCGGTATTTCTGGCTTTGACTTTTCCAGAGGTAGGAACATGATGGTGTTTCTCCTCCGCGATTAGGTCACCTATCAGAGGCTGATCGCAGCATACTGTGAGGATGGAGACATCGAGGGAGCCGGGTGAGAACCGTGAGCTGTAGGAAATGCCCAGGGCTCTCTGGGTCATTTGCTTCGAAAGCTTTCCCTGTGCTGTCACTTCCCATATGCCTGATTCTCATTGGTTTAAACCAGGCAGAGATTTATGGGGTATGATTAGTCCCACCCTCCATGGGTTTTGAGACCTTATGTCCTCTCATGCTAACTGTCTTGCATGTTCTCACTTATTCCAAGGCACCTTGCTTTCTAGACTGTGCTGTTGCAGTTGTGTGTCCCCCTCAAACAGAGGTGTCCCTGTTCACGGTGAAGTCATGTGTTGCGTGTTTGTGTCTGCAGTAAGATCCTGGGCTTCATGAAGGACAAAGACATGCCCATCACTGAAGCAGTCTTCAACTCGCTCTTGACTGGACATGCCCGTGCTGGGTGAGCAAGCAGGGTTGCTGACTTTTAGAGTTTTCACGCGCATCCTTACTACATAGGGGGCGCTATAGAGGAGGGGTAGTCTTCGTTTATATGGCTGTTTTGTGCACACTGATTTCTGAATGCCCGCTGGAGGCTTAAGCATCATATCCCATTGTGGGTGTTCTTTTGTCTGGCAGGGATGTGGCGAGTGCTGAGAGCATCCTGCCGATGATGCGCAGTGCCGGGATCGAGCCGGGACCCGACACCTACGTGGCTCTGGTGTGCGCCCATGCCGAAAAGGGGGATATAGAGAACGTTAAGAAGGTAATTCCCCTTCTCAGACCTCCCTAGTTCTGCACTGCCATTTGAACGTGGGAAATGACCGAGCGCCCCCTCGATTTCTTCTCCCCTTTTCTAGGTCCTGGACGAGTTGGTATCCAGTGACATCCAGCTGATGGACAGAGACTTTCTGCAGGTGTTACTGACCCTGGCCAGGGCCGGGCACTACCAGCACCTGCCGCAGATTTTGGAGCGTCTACGACAGGAACAGGGCTTTGTGCCAGGTAGGAAGATGATGGGGGGCAATACTGTTTAGCATTTTTGGTTGTCTGCCATGCTGCAGTTAGGGATGGCAGCTAGCTGTATGTCTGCAGTGGTCATTTCAAGAGCTCAGTAGCCTTGTAACAGTGATCACCGTGGTGAATACAACCTTAGGACCCTACACAGGCAGCGCGACATAACAGTGATCACTACGCTGATCACTACGGTGATTACAACCTTAGGACCCTACACAGGCAGCGCGACGTAACGGAGATCACCGTGGTGATTACGGCTCATACAGTGTCATATTGCTAAAATGACGCTGACTATCTATTTTTCGTCCGAAGTACACGGCCCCTTTTAGTGGTGGGTCATAAAACCAGCAGGTAGTTGTTTTTAAGGTGGACACCTTATTTGTGAGAGGTGTCCCATGACTTGCGGTGTTGTATTCCGCCACGCTTGACACATCTCCGCCTGCCCCTGCAGAAGCCATGAACGTGTGCCTCAGACTCATCACCCAGGGTATGGAGGATGTGGCTTTCTCTCTGCTCAAGACCTTCCCCCATCGCCAGGCAGAGTCCCAGAATGAAGACCCTCCCAACCAGGGCAACTTCTTCCTGTCACACTGCGTCACCATGGATACGGTGAGGCTTCTTTGAAGCGAGCCCTCTACTTAGTCATGAAACGCTCTCCTCAGATGTTGTCGAGTTGCATTCGTTGACGCATTGTTTTTTGCATCATGTTGTCCAGCCGGCAGAGAAGTTGCGCCAGTACTGCAAGGAGCTGCATGAGTCCAGCAGACACGCCACCCCCCTGCAGTTCACCTTGCACTGCGCCCTGAAGGCCCAAAAGATGGGTAAATCTGTCTACCCCGCCAGTGTGACCTTCCTGTGGATTGCCTTTACTGGTTAACTGAATTGACCAACTCGTGGTGAAATGTGACTGTTTCATTCTGACGTTGTTCCCCCCCCCCCCACCCCTCACAGATCTGGCGGTGAAGCTGATGAGGGTGATGCAGGAGGAGGGCCTCCCAGTGAGGGAGCACTTCTTCTGGCCGCTCCTTCGACAGCTGCGACGGGACCAGAATACACAAGGTAGCGCTGTGGCCTTTTCTGGGGCGAAGCTCCCCTAGCTGGACAATGCAGTGCTGGCTGCAGTGGTGCTGTGTTGGCGGTGTCAGCTGACAGACTGACCAATGAGGTGTGATGTTGAGTTGAGAAACCTATGGGATGTTAGACCAGTCAACCCATCGCGACCTGCCAGATAACCATGAACCTACTGTGATTTGGGGGGATCGGGGTGGGCTTCTTGCAGGTCTTCCACCTGCCCTGGCTGGTCTTTTCCTATCCCAGCCATATTATGGTGGGATGTTTTTAAAGCTTAAATAGTTAATAGCAAGAGGACAGTCATGGAATAAGGGATACCTGACCTCTGTCCAAATGGCTCTAGAGAACCGGTGCTGGTGGCCTTTAGTTTGGCAGCTGAATGTGTGTGTGGGGTGCGGGCTATTTCCTAAATGTTTGTCAGCACTAATTATCCGGAATTGTCTAACCAGGCTGTACCGCAGTACACGCTAGCGGCTTGGAGGGGGGTGGGGGATTCTGTGTGCCCCACGGTCTGGCCAGAATGGCCTCCGCCATACTTATTCAGCCACTTAGTATGGAGCAAGTAGAACTTTTGTCCCCCCCCCCGTCTTCAGATGTAACCTCTCATGAAAAATGCATGTACTCCTCCTTTCTGGGGGTTGGAGATGGGGAGGGCAGGGGGTGGTTGCAGAGCAGAGGCGGTGACGTGACGGATGCGGAGTGACTGCCCCCCCCGTGTAAATGCGAGTGCTCCGGGGGGGTTCACTTCAGATTACTCGCACCCCTCTGCCTTGCATAAAATATTAAGCTCCTCGGTCCTTTCCCCCACAGGTGGGCCTGGCAGCCCAGCTCTGGGGGGGTCTGGGGAAACTTCGTGCTGGAGAGGTGCGGATGCGGACAGACGGGTGTATGGGAGCATATGGTGGTGGGGGCGGACTGGCGCGGCGCACTGTCACCCTGGGGCCACCAGGGGCCGCTTATCGCTTGTGACACGGCTCGGGTGGTGGGGGGTGGGGGTGGTTCGACTCAGGCACGGACAATTTAAAGTGAGTCTCCCACTAGGCTGTGAAGCCCCCCCCCCCCCGCCTCTCCGCTTTCTGTGCTGCGTGACTAAATAAATAACCCAGCCTGCCCCCACCAGAGAGGGGGCAATCACTCCAGCTGAGGCTGTTGTGGCTTTTGTTCATTTTTCTTTTTCCTTCACAATTTCTGTGTTGCACATTAGCTTTTTTTTAGGCTAATTTCTCTCTCTGCCCCCTAGCGGGCAGCCCTCAGCAGTGTGGATGAGAGGTAAAGTTGAGGTCAAATTAATAGGACTGTGGCTGATTTCAGACATCAAACTCAAATTCAGGGTCTGTCCCGCCAGCCATTCAGAAGACAGTACCCTTTAATGATAAAGAATGGTCAATTCTATCTGCTGATGAAAGGACTGAGCTGTGATCCTAGCAGCTGTGGGGTCCGATTATCCAAGAGGGTGTTGGGTCCAGGCAGAGATTAGGGATATCTAACAACAGACGGTGAATCAGGCCGTGCTGGGCATGCACAGTCAGGGATCCCCCCTGGTGCACCGCATCCTGTGACACGTTCTTGCGCTTGCCAGCCTGTTGCTGTGCTTCCCTTAGTGCAGCTCAGCGATGGGCCAGGTATGCCTGGGAGAGATGCACCATGGGTAATTTAACAGGCCAAGTAGGGGGGCGCTTTGACGAAAAATGTATGGGGAACCACTCCGGCTTTCATTGAGAAGGCTGAGAGAAATGGGGGCCTTTCCTGCTGACAACTCTGCGTGTGTGTGTGTGTGTGTGTGTGTGTGTGGTAGGGGGGGATCGGCAGAGAGGCATCCATTGAAACAGAGCTGTCAGGGTGTGTGAGCTTGTAGACGGAGGGGTTGCTTTTGGATGCTCCTAACTAATACTCCCCTGTGCCCGACCCCTCCCCCCCGCGGACAGAGGATAAAAAACATCTTAATTTTTATTTAGCCATGCCAGAGCGCCCAAGAAAAGTCGGGGCTCTGTGGTGTGGGTGCAGGGTCACGGGTGCGATTCGGGGGAGGATGGCTTCGCAGCAGTAAACAAGCCGGCCCTGTCGCATATTCATGAGCTTGTGGGCCTTGAGGCTGGAGTGGGCGTGGGGTCAGAGGCTAATTTGGGCCGCGGGCAGGCTCTGTCGCTTCGGGGTGCGGTGCCAGGTTATGGTGCTAATATGCTAATGAAGAGCATCCAAGCATTCTCTGGAGACGCCCCCACCCCAGACTTCCGTAAGGGCTGTCTGGTGTAGCCTCATTAGACCCTAACCCCCACTTTGTACTCCAGTGGGGAACGCTGTGTTCAGACCTGATTCCTGAGTGGCGTCGGCGATGCTGTTACCATCCGTGTTCGCTGCTCTTAAACCCCCCCAGCAACCCACATGTGCTCCTTGTATTCCCACAGGGATCCAGGAAGTGCTGAGGAGCATGCGCAGTCTCGGAGTGGAGCCCGACCTGGCCACCTACTCTGGCTACGTCCTGCCCGCCTTCCCCAGCGTGGACGCTGCCCGTGCAGCTCTCCAGGTACCGTGCTCTGTGTCATCCCCCCCCCCCCCCCCCCCCCCCCCCCCCATCCGTGGGCCGCATCTGCAAAACCAGGAACAACTAATGGCACTTTTCCACTGGCACGAGGAACCGAGCCGTACCTGAACCATACAGCAAACTGACGGTTTGCAAAGCATGTGAGCAATACCCAGACTGTCATTGGCCCACTAACCAGCAGGGCTGAGAGTGTGACCAAACCGAGCTGGTTACGTCACCATCATCTGATTGGCCGAAATGCAGGGAGATACTGAAAATGGCATATTCTATATATTATTATTAGTAGTATTGTATATTGTGAAGTATTAATGCATGTGTGTGTTTGTGTGTGTGTGTGTGTGTGTCCGCAGGAGGTGGGCTGTGATCTCGGCTCATCCGGGTTTGTCATCGCTCAAGTCCGTGAGGAAGCGAACGCCGGGAACCTGGCCACACTCAGCGCCCACCGTAAGTGGCACGAGGAGGGCAAGGAACAGCAGGCATGTGTAGATGGGTGGGCAGGGGGGAGTCCTGCTATTCCGGTTGGTTTAGATCTGTTTGGTGCCCAGTGGGGGTCGCACCCATTTGCCCCAGGGAATTGGGGGATTTTTGAGGAAGCCCTAACCCACCCTGTAATCACCAACAGTGAAAACATTCCCGAAGTGAATCTTAATCTGGGAAAGCTTGTAAGCTCAGTACCCAGCCCCAGTGCATGCTGGGTATCTGCACCTGAGTTTCTGCTCTGATGTCGATTCTCCCCCATCTGTGCCCACATACACAGCCAGCAGCCCTCAAACCTTTTAAGCGATTAGTGTCTCTGAATATGTGAGGAAGACCGTTTAACGGAAAGACGTAAATTGGTTAAAAGCCTCTAAATAATACATATTTTGTTCCGCCCTTGGCTGCGTGGAGCTCTGCTTCTGGGGTCCCACACCAGCTGTGTGCTCTCCAAGTTTCGCTCGTTACCTGTCAACACTGGGAACTTGGCACCAGGGACGCCCCGGGCTTAAACCCCCCCCCCCCCAGCCGTCTCGGAGAGTGCGAGTGTCTCTCCCTTCCCTGCGTGCCGTCTTGGTGCGGTTCTCCCTCAGGACAGTCATGCTGGTTGTTCCGAAGCGGTGACTTGACATGCATCTTTCTCTGCTTGAGTACGTACAGCTTACGTTTCTCCTCCTTTTCTTCCTTGCTCCCTCTCTCTCCTCCTCATCTCCCCCAGTCTCATCCCCCTCTTTCCCAGGTCTGAGCCTGAACGTTTTCAGGTCACAGCTGATCCGAGGCTTCAGACAGTAAGCAGTTCCGACCCCCACCTTTTTTTGGCTGGGGTCCTGTCATGAGGGGATGACCCCCTTCATCATGGCTAGTTCCTCTGCGGTGAAACCACACCTTCTGTGTTGCTGGTGCCTCGCATCTCCTTTTCTCCCAGAATTCCCTCAGACAGCATGTCATCCATATGCATGCCCTGCTGAAGGCCCTGCCCTGGGGTGGTGTTAATGCAAATAGATCTATTCTGTTGCTCGTCCTGGATATTCAGTGTGTTCCCATCACTGATGTAAAAACCCACACCCACGTTTGAGGCTGCAGCTCCTGCCACTGACCTGGCTGGTGCAAGTCTGGTACCCTGTCTGCATAGTTTGTTCAGTTCCCAGATCCTGCCTACATCAACTTCATTGTTTAATAATTAAATTGAAAAAAGTTAGTTTTGCATTGGGACAGCTGTAAGATTAGAAGTATTATTTTTTTTTTGTATGTTCTATGAGTCATTTCAGGGGGTGAGTCATTCAAAACACTGTGATCTGCTCATCTCTGATTCTCTGCTGCCCCCTGCAGGTCAGATGATGTGGCGAGCATGGCTAAGGTAAGAGGAGCCATACGGATGGGGTCGATGTAGATTAACTCTGTCCTCTTGACATGCCTTTGTCTCTTGTACAGCAGTTACTTTAGAAATTTAATCTTAAAAAATCTCATATTAGGATTATTGTGGGGGGGGGTGTTGAAGGGTGTCTGCAAAACCTACATGTGGATGAATAAAAAAGCATCTCGAAAGTCTGTCAGTTGTGATGTCACTGATTATGATTTCATATTCCAGAACGAAAGAGATTGAAGTCTGTCACAGGCCTATATTTGTGGTGTAGGAATGGGGCCCAAAAAAGTGTGTGTGGGTGTGGATTTCTGCGGACTGTCGGGGGGCTCATGGCACAGCCTCTGTAGCAGAGGGGTGTCTGGGCGGTCCTGCTGAAGCTGTGGATTGTCCAGGAATCTGTAACGGTGCATTGGGTCTCTGAGTTGCAGGAACACCCACCGTTGCATGTTCTAAAGGGGGTTAAAGTCACGCCCAGCATTACATAACAGGTTTATTCATTTCATTTTTTTTTTATTTTCAAAAATTATCAGAGTACTATGGCAGGTTCTTTACAACTGGTCAACTAGCAGCTGTTGTCAATGTTTTTCTGGTAACGTTTTCTCGTTCAGTAGCGATGCGTTGGCATGCGGTCATCAGAGGCCCTTGAAAGTCTTACCTTTTTTTACTTATCTGTAAACCCCAAAATCCTGCCTGTGAGGCCCCCTCGTGTCTCCCTCTCTGCATGAGCAGCCCGGCCGTGCTCTCGGAGATGGGAACGATGCGGTGCAGCGCTTCAGCCAGCGCGAAGCCCCCGCATCGCTGCTTTCTCCGCATTTGCCTCATAAATAATGCAGGGCAGCGCCTCCTGTAGTCCGCGTGCTTATTTATGAATTTCTTTATTGGGTGTGACATCACTCCGTTTGAGGCCCTAATAACCACAGCCTGGAAATTTCCATTTGAGCTCCTCTTACAGTTGCTAAGAATCAAGTTAACCCCCCTCCCGATACACACACACACACACACACACACACACACACACACACACACACACACACACACTATTTTGTGAATCCAGACTGAACACGAGAATACAGACTGAACACAAAATGGCTGACCTGATTTTGGGGTAGAGAATTTACAGGGATTTTAATCAGTTAGGGAACACGTGGCATCTCTCTGGGCGGTAAACAGAATTTCCTCCTCTTTCTGGGTGCGTGCCTGTGTGTAAATAAAGGTTTGCTCTCTCCTGATCTCAGTGGGCATATGTCATTGCAGATTACCGAACTGCTGTACAGAGATGAACGATTCAACAGAGAGACCCCCAAGCAGGCTGGTATGGCGGCACTTCCTCTGCAGATCAAGCTTTTTGTATCCTGTGATATTCACAAACACTGCCCCCTCGTGATGCTTGTCCTTAGCTGTCTGTACTTTGTCTGTCTGTGTCTGTCTGCATGGACATGGATGTCCTTTAAACATGCAGCCCTGTGATCTGGGCTGACTTTTCTGGGCACGTCTAAAGAGTGACACGGCCCCTCATGGGAGATGACATCTCACCCCCCCCCCCGCTCTGAGCCAGTACTGTTCTCGTGGGAGGGGGGCGGCTGGTGGTGGGTCTGATGGGATGCCCCACCCCCACCCCGGCCATGGAACGGGGCTGTCGGGCCGGGCAGGTGGCCCAGCGCGCAGTTGATCATTTTCCGTCAACGTCATGCACGCATTGATTGGCTCGGGCAGAGTTTGGGTTGACACTCACTCACGTACTCACCCTTCCGCATGCATTAAAGTCAACTGTACACACACACACAAACTCTGTGGCATAATCTGTGTGTGGCGTGTGTTACACTGTCTGTCTGTGAGTTATCTTGCTTGCTTGTCTTTGTGACAAATCCCAGTTCCACCATCTTACCAATGATTCTCTCCACTCTGCTTTTCAGAGGCTGTGCACTATTTCCTCTACAAATTTGTGGAAGGGATGAGTGCAGAGGATACTCAAGCTAAGCAGCAGCTTCTCGGGAAATACTTGCAAGAGCTTCATGCTAAGGTACTTGGTCAACCACACGCACATGCTAGTCTTCATGCATACTCATAAGATGATCTGGTACCCATATTGGTCATCAGTTCATATGTTGTTAAGTTTGAATATCTTCTGCCTTTCCTCTGCAGAATATCACCATCCCCGTGCTCATCTTCAGGGGGATCCGCAATGTCCTGCAAGGCCACAGTGTCCCGGAGCTCGTCAAGGTGAGGGGCATGACGGGGGCTGTGGGGTGACGCAGGACGCGGTGAGGGTACCGCTTCTGATCTGCTTAGGACTGAGCCTGGTCGATGGGTGGGGTATCGAGGATCATGCTTATAGGAAAAATCTCCGTCTATAACTGCCTGACTATGGTGCCGTTTGTGTGACACTTATTCTGTGCACTACAAGGACCTCATACCATTGATCGAGGGCGGGAAGGATGCCGGTCCTCAGGAAATCCGAGTGGTAAGTGGGCTTCGTACGTGTGTGAAACAGCTGAGCACCTCTTTAATTGGGGGATCGTGAAATTAGTTGTTCCCATCTGGAGGCTGCGGAGCAGAAGGCTGAGGTCCTGGAGAAGAAGCTTGAAGACCTGAAGAGGGAGAATCAGCCCACGGGGCCGGTCCTGAAGCAGCTGATCCTGGCCCTCTGCGCTGAAGAGGTGTGGCTCTTGCCCCCCCTCCCACCCCAACACCCCCACCACCCCCACCCCCGACTGTGTTGCGCTTTGATTTGACCCGTGTCCACTTCCCACCCCCAGAAACTCGAGCGGGCCCTTGAGCTGAAGTCTCAACACGAGGAGGAGATGGTCGTCGGGGGTTACGCAGCCCTCATCCGTCTGTGCTGTAACCAAGACAACGTGGAGGAGGCGCTGAACCTGAAGAGGGAGCTGTGAGTCAGGGCTCCGGCTGACGCACGCACGTGTCCATTCGCACTCCCGGACACACGCATACAGAGCCCTTGTTTACAAAGTCCTTCAGCCGACTTTTAAAGTTTAATGGCAGCGCAGCGCCATCTGCAAGATGCAAGGAGACATTAATGCGGCGCGTCTCCCGGCCTGCTCCTTCTGTTTCGCTTACCTTCATGTTCAATTTCAGTTCCTTTTTATATAGTTACC